TTCCATGAATCGATAAATCCCAAAAAGAAAGGGTGGTCCGGGGGTTCTTCCCCGGGAAAATTTTAATTCCTAGATGGCGGGAATTGAGCTTTCCCGACATTTGAAGTGTGTTTTAATGAATTTTATGTTCTTCAAAATTCTGATTTTCTAATAGCAAAAAAAAAAAAAAAAATCAGCTCACGGGTCCTGAGTATGTTTGGTTATATCATATTAGATTCTTTCATTTTACACTGTCATAACACCTCAAGGTAAAGACTGATTTTGAGCATGTTAGCATGTGATCCATATATGTATGAAGAGTTTAGATGCAAAAACAAATAATATTAATAATAAGTAAGTAAGTATTAAGTATTTTTAATAAAGCCGCCTTCTTAAAATCAACAAATTAAAAAAATGCAGGCTCTAAATTGATGTATATGTAGGATTATATTGTTAAAATTTAAAAAATGTAAACTTTCATTAAGAAAGATAATTTGGTAATATTGATTTTTTTTGCATCAGCAAGAACAGAAATGTACATTTTGATAGATCCCTGCTCAGCAGAGATGGCGTATCCCCATACTGCGGTTTGGGTGCTGGCTTGGATTTCCTTTTTTTTTCAGTTACATCTGCTCACTTGTTCTGCGCATAGAGACGCTCATATTTTGCGCAATATAAATGAATAACCTTTAATATTTATTATTCCAATTTAATTTACTATTCTAAATTAAATACAAACTCATTTTGAGACAAAACTCAAATTGTCTATATTTCATTTTTATGTCTGTGTGTTTTTCAAACAATGTTAAAGAAACATTTACAAATCATAAATCATTAATTTTAGATTACTGCATTACTATAATATGTAAGGATATTTCAACAAGAAACCTTATTATATGTATTTTTTAATTAATAAATAAAAAATATTGATTAATTTTAGTTCTGGTGGTCAATAGGTATACTATTGTAATGTTTCTTTGGCTTCTCAATTGCACTGTCTTCTAAGTATTGCTATGTCCTTCTTTTTAAAGTTTGGACTTTGAAATGTCTCCAAAACATATACTGGGGGCGGGGGTCGAATGCATACTGTAACTCGTATGGAAATGGAAAAAAATGACAATAATCGTTTTATTATGTACTCTTTTGGGTTTTGTACTCTATTGAACATGATAAAAACGGAACAAATAGATTGTAAATCCTGGCATATAATACAATTGGCAATAAAGTCAACAATAAACTTCAATTCTGTTTTACATTCAAATTTTCAAAACTGAAACAGACTCTTACTTTACTTGGCTGACAGTTCTCATGAACCCTTGATCTTGGTTTTCTTTTCTCTTCATAGTTCTTTCCATCAGTGCACTTTAAAATATTTCTGTATCAGCTGAAAGAGAATAAATTTTTATATTTTAATTTACATGTTTTTGATTGATAAAGTTCTTTTTTTGAAATGTAATTAATGCTGTTGATTATGGTCTTTATAGTGATGTTTCTAGAAGAGTGTGATTGTGTCCTGTTTATGAGTATTTGAGGCTAGTTATGGTTGGGCTTATAATTAATTAGGCTGAAGGCCTTGCTAGTCTCTTCTATTTGAGGCTAGGCCCAACGTAATATTTGGAGGTAGGTACAGTATATATTGATATCCAAATATCTTACTAATAAATCAACATCTAATAAAATATCTCATAAAATAATAGTAATCGATAATTATATTGAATATATATGTTTAGTAAAACAGCTTTTATGTGTTAATTTGGTAACAAATGTTGTTGTTCAATCTTATGTTAATTTTACACATATTCTTTTGTTTGCAGGTTTTTGGTGGTTGCACACAATCCAGGTCATTGTCAGTTTAGAATTTGATGGTGTTGCATGTTTTCGTTTAGATAAATGGAGATAAGGTCAGAGCCTACAAGCTATCACATAATTACGAGGACCTTCTCCACCAACCCAGGGAGCAGAGGACCCTGCGGAAAATACCTCAAATACCAACAGAGGGTGCATGTTATCGGATGACATCGGCCGATGACGAAATGATCTGAGATTAGGTCATTTACCTGATGAAGATACTATTTCGAAACCGGTTTAAATACTGTAGTGTTTAAACAAGTTTAAAAATTAAAATGCATTTATTTAAATTTAATACTGAAAAGCATTGTGGATAAAGCATCTATTTAAAAAATTGAAAAGCATATTGTAGATAAAGCATTATTTTATTTAAAGAGTTTAATACTGAGGAGCACGATATGTATAAACCATTTAAAGCAGATTTAATTTCTGTGAGGCATGTTCTTCATTTAGCCACTTTTTTGAAACATTTTTAAATATTGAGAAAATATTAAAAAGTTTTAAATATTTTTTTGTTAAAACAGATTAAAATACTGTGAAGGTTATTGTGAATAACTTTTTTTTTACATATTTGAATACTGTGAAGCATATTGTGGTTAACAATAAATATTATTATGTAAAGTTTATTATTATGTTGTTTTGTAGCATTGTAAACAAAATTTTTGAAATCCATTATAAGCCACCAAATCATACATTTCTACCAACTTTTAATACTAAAACTAAAAATCAGTACACCCTTATATGTACTGAAGTATCTATTAGTATTTACATGAATTGCATACTCACAGCATTTTACTTTCTATTAGAAACTGCTAGTTTTAGTGAGAATAGTCTATAACTTTTAGAGCTGTATTATTATTTTAAATATTTTCTGTCATTGTCTTTAGGCCATTTCTTGATGAAATATATCCCATTGTAATAAAAATGATTTTAATATTATTCTTTACTTCTCAGTCTTTTTGGTCATGAAATTTAATTAAGCCAAAAAAATGTTTTGTTGGTCAGGATTTTTATTTATTTATACAAAGTTATTTTTATTTTATCCAACTTTCTATAAAGTGTAGCTCTTACCGCAAAGCCAACATCAAAGAGGCCTAACTTGAACAAGACCTACAAAATAAAAATTAGCAAAATAATTATGTGAGCTTTGATATATAGAATGTGCTCTCAATATAATATATTGATTATATTGTGCAAACTTTTAATTATTTATTTTTATTGGCTTTTTATTTATTTATCTTTATTTATTTTTATTTATTATTTATTTTTTTCACATCTTATTAAAATTGGTCCTCATTTAATGTCTAGTTAAAATTGTCCTATTCCCATTAAAAATATAAATCCTATGGATATAAATAATACAATCTTTGACTCCATGCCTTCAGATGAATCTGCATGTCCCAATGCCAGCACCTGCACATTTACTCAATTCTGAGGTTTAGTGCAGTATATGAACAGAACAGAAAGAAAAATGTAGATATTACAATTGATATTTAAGAGAAAACTTTTTTATATACAAAAGTAGAACACTTAGGAGGGATCCCAAGTCACCAGAAATCGGGAAGGCTTCTCGCACTCCAACAAGCAAGCATTAATCTCAAGGAAGATTAAAAACTGGCCCAGCCCCCCTAAATATTTTAAAGTTGTAAAAAAATGAAGAAAAAAAGAAAATTACAGTCAAATTCAAATCTGAGAGTGCCATCTCTGGCAGTCATCATGAGGTGCCATCATAAATTTCCTTGAGTCTGCCCCAACCATAGTAAGAGTGAGTTGGTATGAACCCATCATTTAGTTCCTCCCGGGGCACCTCCATTTTTAATACCTGGATCTGCCACCTAGTACTTCCTGGTATTTATGAAACTATCCATACATAAATTGGTGTATCTGACAGAGTGATAAACGTGATAAAATCCTTGGATGCAAATCATGGCTTGATCAGGGCTACCAAAAATAAAATCTGTGTTGACCTAAAATACAGTTTTATTTTTTGGCAATTTTTTTTTTTACTGAGGAGTAGTCCAATTATTAGTAAGATGTTTGATTTAGCCAAAGCTTTAAAAAAATTAAATAGGTATCACAACTATGAATTTTCATTTTATGATTATTTCGTGATTAAAAATTTATTTCAGCTCTAACCGTGATTGTCAAATATCATTTTTTTTATTTGTTTAAGTATAAAAGAAAATATACAAACAGCGGCAAAATGCTGAAATGAATGTATTTAGTTGGGCAACACAAATACATTAGTATGAAAGTTTTTTAGAGATCTGCAAGGATTTTTTTTTAATTTCTGGAATTTCCTCATTTAAAATATGTCTGAACATGAAAATAATTTACTATTAGCAAAGGGTAGATGTGCCAGTACAGTATAATTGTATATATCATCAACCATAGTGCCTACCAACACCAGATACAAAATGAAGAAGTAAGGTAAATCACATGTATTTGACTGTTTAGGCCATTTAAGTCTTTTATAAACTGAAGATATATGAAAAAAAAACACACATTACAGTCAAACAACTGATGTACTTTAAGGCAGCAGAACCTGTAATTCAGTCTCGCTGTGCTGAATTATGTATAGGTGTGGTCCATGACTAAGACAACACAAGTAGAGAGGTGCTGCTAATTCATATCATTCCAAAATGAAAGCGGCTGAAATGAACCATAGCATCGGAGTAACCTCCTATACAAAAAAAGCATTATGCACACAGACAATGTATCTGGATTTAAGTCAATATCCAAGTAGACTTGGTTTTACCAACTGAACCCTGGACAAGAAGCATCTCAAACTAGTGCCGAAGCTGCAGTTTAGCAGTTTATGAAATGGACATTTGCTATTATAAAAAGTGTTTTTTAAATTTGTATGTAATTAATATAATATATACTTCCTGTTTAACATCACTCAGCAGTGCAAGGCACTTACATGGAGTTAGTCAACCATGACATTTGATTATGAATACACCTATTGAAAATAAGTGAACTGCATACTGCATGGACAATATCCTAGCAACAAACAATGTTATTATAATATTTGGGAGCATTGTAATGTAAACACTGCGAATATAACATATTGTAACACATAACAAAGTTTACAATGTTATTTAGTCAGCAGGTATTGCATTTTAAATATCATATGCATTTATAGTTATACAAACAAAAATCGGTCATATCAACAGAATATCAAGAAAGCAGAGGAATATCAGTTTAGATCAGCTATAGCTCAAAAACACTCAACCTAGCATTTGGTAAGCAGTCAAAAAGCTTTGTAGATTTTCTGCCAATTATTCTATTCATTTATTAGTCTGATATAGCTGGTTGCAGCAGTTACAATTCTTAACTAGATTTGAACTCGTCACTGAGGACGAGTTTGGTGATTTGACCCTCAGGAAGCACGAGCGGTGTGGGTTGAAATGTTTTTAAATTCTCAAAATGGCCTAAAATATGCTCTAGTTTTTTAAAAAGTGTAATATTAAACATTTGAAAAGAATTACACGTGCATACGCAGACGTGTTGACGGCTGTGCACATGTTAATGGCACAAAAAGTTTACTCATGGCCTGGGATTTATCAATCTCATCTTAGCAAATGTCTTAAGACAAAAAAGTTAAGGTGTCCCTAATAAATATCTCTGAAGCTGATTTATTACCCAATCTTAGCAAAATCTTGGCTTAAAAATTGTCTTAGATGGTGCCCACATACAATTTTCTAATTTTAAGAAATTTGTAAGCTACTGTAGCAATACTGATAAATTTGACTTAGGCAAAAAAATGTTCTTAAGACGAATTTAAGCTGAATTCTAGTTTGATAAATGTGGCCCCTGTTTATAAATACAGTGTCAGGAACCCAAAACTTGTAACAAAATGTAATTCCCAGCTTCCGTACGTGCAGTGCGCGTGGAAATAAGCATACGGTGCGTAAGTTATGGAAAGTTTTGGGATGCTGAAAATGACCTCAAACGTGATTTAAATTATCTGAAAAGTGTTATTGAGAATTCCCAAATCTTACCGTACACGCACGTCACACATGCTCGTGGACAGTAATGGCACAAGAAATTGACCTTCTATCAGTCTGATAGCGTCGAAATACAGTCTGCCGCCCTCTATCTGAAAAGTGATATTGAGAATTTCCTAATTCTACCGTACACGCATGTCATGACATGCTCGTGGACGGTAATGGCAAGAGAAATTAATCCTTGTCAAGAGTAATTTAAAAACACCTGTTGGTTGGTAATGCCACACAAATTTTCTATTCACAATGTGCTATATATCAATCTTATAGCGTCGAAATACAGTCTGCCGCCCTCTGTTGTATATTTTTTACATCTTTTAAGAAAGAGAGATAAAAGGGCTCTGAAAATTCATTCTTTTTGACCATGATCACGTCATCAAAATGAAAAATAAAGGGACACTTCCGAAAGAGAATTGTCTCAGCTATAACATACTCATAGGTGGTAGACGATCGATCAAGGATAAGCAAGATGTGCTCAAATGCGTATTTTCAAAAATGACGTCATAGCTAAAATTTACTTTCTTTGAATTCAGATGGCAATATGATGACGTCATAATGTCAGCCATTATGATCTATAAAATCATATATACAACTTATGTGCTTTCAGAATATGTAATAAAAATTGGGGGTCAATTTTCATCCTAAGGAGCTATAACTGATTAAAAATAAGCCTGATTTTATCATATTTTCCCTGTATATCGGCACAAATCCGCACAAAGACACCTATGTTTGATGCGCACATACGACATTGCTATTGGCCATAAGGTGACCGAAAAGAATGGAAATTTGTAAAAACAATATCAGGAACTCAAACTATGTGAAAAAACGTAATGTCTAGCTTCCGTACGTGGTGCGCACGTAAAAATGCGCGCGCATAGTGGAAAATTTTGAAATGCTATGTATGCTTTGTTGAAAAAATATAATTTTTTTGGCGTAGCATACAGTTTTATCGATTCTTATATGAAAGTTAAAGATGATGCTATTTTTTTAATAGAATGTCATTAGTCGGCCTACTACTGCTGCTACCCCTGTGCCACCAACATTATCGTTTTATGTAGTTGGGATGGGGTTTGGGATGGGTAGACATATGCAAATATTTATTGATATACTATTAATCACTTAGAATTGGTCTGTCTGACCTGGATTAGCACGCTTTAAAAAAAAAAAAAAATGTGTGTGGTCAGTTTGGTAAAAATTTTAGAACCATTATTGCATTACAATACAGTACTTACTATTGTACTAAAAACAAGAAATATTTTCTATAAAAACACCCCGCCGCATCTTTAAATCAATGATTGGTTTGTATTTACAAACTTTAATAAAATGACGCAAGGATTTTCCCGACGGGTTGCCGAGGTCCCCGACAGGGGGAAGGGGGAGCGATGCCACGACGAGGGGTCAGATTTCCCGACGAAAGCAAAGTAGGCGTGGTCGAGCTTCGAATAAAAGGTTGAGAAAGTGGTCCATGGGGTGAAGCCCCCGAAAAAATAGACAACTTAGGGGTTTCAAATGCTTATTTAATCGATTTTAGAGTCTACTAATATGTATAATACGTATCATATACCCCACCTCCCGACGAATTGTGCCTTTTCTCCCCGATAGGTAGGCCAGCCCTTCCTGGCGGGGGCCCTGACCCCCCCGGCCCCGGCCCCCTGTTGGTGCCACCCCTGAAATGACATTGCTTATTATTAAGAATGTGGAAAGTATAACCTACTTTCGTTAACTGTTATGCTAGAAGTAAGATAAACATATATTCTGTTTCTTTGTTTATGTTAGAACTAAAATAAATAACAGCTACCTTAACAGTTGACAAATGTCCTTCTATTAGTCTTATCTGTTACTACCCAGAGGTGACCGAACTAGGGGATGCTATGGAGAGTAATGTGTGACCGGAAATGGTCTGCAGTCAGTTGGTTGTTACCATTTGCCAGTGATGTTGGAGTATATACTGTAGTACAGGAAGATGGAACTACAGTATTATGTAGACCTAAAATGCATGAATAAAGCTCGGAGTTGTCAGGTAGTGAAATGATTATTGTACATTTTAAGTGCTCCCTAAATTCATAAGTGTAAGCTAAATTACGGTGATTAATTTAATTAGCAAAGATATGGAGACAATTATTTCGAAGTTCCCTCTTTCCAAGAGGGGATGCAAATGCTTTGTGAAAATAAGTACACCGCGGTACTCATTTTCACAAAGAAATACACACAACTGGTTAGCTAACAATATGCCAATGTTACAAGAACACCTGGGAAGAAAGGTGCAATCACGTTGTTGCCTAGCAAACGTCTGTACTGTATGGGGGGGGGGGGCAGCTACTGATGTACTGTGTAGCGGGGGACGATGAGGCATAATAATAAGACTATAGGCCTAAGCCCAGGCCTAACTTGACAGTGCAATAATATTTGATAGAAATTTCGAAAGAAATATATTAAAATAAGAAAAAAAAAAACAAATACTGGTAACTAAGAATAATTCAGTTGTAGATGTACCTTGTTTAAGTATTATACAATGCTAACAATGCGGCTCTTGTAGCCCTAGCTAGGGCAAAGCATCCATGTGCAAAGCAGTAGTGTTTGTTTATCCATGAAAAAAGCACGCCGGGAAAGTTTGCCTTACCAGAAAAAGGTGACGTAATCTAGCTTATGACGTATGCATGCCAACTATATTGTGTGTGTGACGTCACCAAAAATGAATATTTTTTATTATAACCAAAATATTAATAACTACAAGGTAACTACTGGAAGACACCTGTACTTATAAGTTGCTAATTGTTGAAAATATTACAAGAAAAATAGAAAATTAAGAAACTTTTTCATTTATTCAGGCAAAAAATTGTAAAATGTATACCTATTAAATTGATGTTTTAATTAAAATTAGCAGGCCCGTAGGTGGGGGTGGGGGATGCACCCCCAAATTCCAAAAGGTCCACTTTTTAAAATATATTATTGCACAAAATCATTCCTAATTATCACAAAATGCTATAGCATGCATTGCATTATATATTTTCCAGCACATCCAGCCGTTTATTTTAAATATGATATGAAATTTGTTGGAAATTTATCGTCTCCGGTGACTGCAGATTGATCTATAATATGAACAATGTTATCTGTAGGCCTGCCGATGTACGGGACATAATAACGTTACTTCTTCAGGCCCCAAAAAACCAAAAATTAATGAAAATTTTAATAAAATATTCACAAATTATGTGTTTGAGAAATCCATTATATAAGACTCTCAAAATGCTACTTTGTCGGAGCCTCCTGGGGCTTTTCTCAAAAACCCCCTCCAGGTCTCTGCCCCTGGACCACCAAATCTCAGAAAGTCCACTTTTAAAACCTATTATTTCATTAAAATCTTTCCTAATTATCGCGAAATGCTATAGGCATTATATTTTTTTTGCCCGCTCTTTTAACCGTTGATTTTTAAAATGTGCTACAAAATCTGTTGGAAATTATCAGCTCCAGTGATTGCAGATTGATCAATGTCATTCTGTAGACCTACAGATGTAAAGGACATAAAAAGTTGCAAATTCACAGTGGCGGATTAGGGGTTTGGGGGGGGGGGCAGAGCTCCCCACAATTAAATTTTGTTTGAGAGTGCCATTTCCGGCCATCTAGAGGTGCCATAATCATAAATTTTCTTACCTCAGCCCCAACCAATGTGAAAGTTCTTCCCGGCCCAGGACCCCACCCTTTATTTCTCCTGCTTTATGCACCTTAACAATACCCAAATGAATGAAAATTTATATAGAATGTTACAAATTATAGGTTTCTGAAATCCATTATAAGGCCCATAAAATCCTAAATTGTCGGAGCTTCCGGGGGTTTCGCCACCCCCCCCACAGAGATTCCTAGGAAGTCGCCCATCCTAAGGTCCGCTTCGGTCGCAAAAATGCACCTCCCTATCGAAAATCCTGCCTACGGGCCTGATTAGTAACACAAAAAGGTGTCTTCAGAAAACCAAACCATTTTCTGTGTAATATTTTTTTTTAAGAGTACTGTATGGGAGTGCTGTTTCTCTGAGCATCTACAGCTGTCAAATTTGACTACAATTTAGGTTGAACCACATCATAAAGACAAAATTAGTAATAAAGTAAATTTTAATATACGAGCATGTCATTTCTGGGTATCTATAGCCTGCATTCTTTATATTATATATAATGTTACCCTTTGCCTTCCCTGTGTTATATTTTAAAGTACATTTGCCTTCTTTGTGTTATGTTTTACGATAAATACATTTCATTCTCTATGTTATATTGTTCATTTCAGATATTTCACATGGCTACTGCAGGTAATGCAAAGCAATTTCTTGAGCATTTGGATGAGAAAGTGTTAGAATGTCCACTCTGCTACGAAAGGCTTAAGGATCCTAAAACACTTCCCTGCCTCCACACTTACTGCTTATCATGTCTCACTAAATGGGTCAACGAGAAAGGTAGGCTACAATGTCCAAACTGTCTCCAATTCTATGATATTCCCAATGGTGGACTGAAAAAACTGCCTCCAAACACATTCATCAATAATCTACTGGAATGTATTGAGCAATTTGAGAATGCAGACAAGATGAAATGCTATTGTGGCAAACACACTGCAGACTTCTACTGTCAGGATTGCATGCAGTATATATGTAGTGAATGTAAACACACTCATGAAACTTTACCTGCACTGCTACAACACAAATTACATACAATAGAAGATATTCAGTCGATGACAATAACACAGTTGTCTGCATTACGTCCCCCGCTCTGTCCTGCTCACAAAAAAGAACTGGAATTTTACTGTAACATTTGTAAAGTTCCTGTTTGTATGCACTGTACTGTCACTGATCATAAAGAGTTGGGTAGTAAGCATGAACTTAATCATATATCTGAAGCATTCAAGTTATTCAAACAAACATCTACAAAGTTGAAAAATGATGTTGAAGCCTATAAAAACAAGATTCAGGAGGCTCTTACTAAAGTTCAGCATAAAATTATTAAACTTGAACAGTGTAGAGAAACATGCAGAAAGGATATCAACAACTTTGTTGAAGACATGATTCAAATGATAACAGAAAAAGGTGAGGAACTTAACAGGAATTTAGATGAGGTGTACACAAAGAAGAAAACAATTACAGATACACAAACAGATGAACTCAACACTATTCTGCTGAATGTTGAAACAAAATGGGACTTTATTGCTCAATTACTAAAAAGCAATGAAGCAACAGCTTTGCAGTCAAGTCATAACACAATTGCAGGTCTACAAGAAACAATCCAGCAATTACCAGGAACAGAACCAAAGGATAATGGAGAAATGTATGTTAACCTCAACAAAGAATACAATGCAAAGGCACTCAGACAGAAAGCATTAGGTTTCATTACTGAGAAATGTTTAGAAATGGTAAATGTGCCCACAATATTACCCCAAGAACAAGAATTTGAGTGTGAAATAATTCAACACAGTACTACTAAAATAGATAGTAATTCACTAAAAGCTATGTTGACATCTCCTGGGGAGGAAACACAATTATAAACATTGAAATAGGATGAAGGAAAGCATGTAGTGAGGTTAAAGTTCAGAAGTACTGGTGTTTGGAAACTTGATGTCAGTTTTGGTGATGAACCTATTAGAGGATCTCCTTTGATAATCACTGTACTCGAAAAGCCAGGTCTGGTGAAAACAATAGAAACACAAGGAAATAAGGCATGTGATGTAGTGATGGCTGAAGATGGTTGTCTGTTAGTGTCAGCTTTGAGCAATGAAATTCACAGGTATAAACAATCAGGAGAATATGCCAGTAAGATAACACTACCATCAAATGTGAAGGTTGATTCATTGTACAAAATGAAAAAGAATGATTTGATAGTATTTATTGATTATGGAAATAAATGCATAACATTATGCAAATCAGATGGTGATGTGGTCAAATCAATTGGTAAGGGAGTGTTAAAGAATCCCTATGGTATTGCTGTAGATGAGAAATTAAATGTAGTGTATGCTGCAGACCGTAATGAAGACTGTGTGTTCATGTTTAACATGGATAATGATCAGATGATCAGAAGCATTGCGTCAAGAGGTTACAGTGAAGGTGAATTGTGGGCACCATGGGATGTTACTATTACTAATGAAGGACATCTCATTATAGCAGACTGTTGTAATAACAGATTACAATTATTTGACAATGATGGCAAGTTCATCAAGGTTCTTGTAGGTGGAGGTGATCAGGATGGTAAGGTGCAGTGTCCATATGCAGTGTTAATAGATAAGGATAATAACATGCTTTTAACAAGTGAGACCAAACTACAGTTATTCAACAGTGATGGACATTTCATTAAAAGAATTGATCAAAAAGAAGATGGATTAAATGGTCCTTTTGGATTATCAATAGTTTCTTATAATCCAAGAAGAGTTGCTGTAGCAAATTGTAGTGGTAGGAACATTAAAATATTTAATTACTGAAATCATATATAACATACTTTTACTCATCAAACCATTCTATTTTAGCTGATGTACATAATGAATCAATTCCATTAAATAGCAAAAAAAAAATGCATTTTTAAACAAAATTTAGAATTCCATATTAAATTTATTGAAAGCAAATAAAATGCCCTTGCTGGGTACATGATTAATGAAAAGTAAATTATTTGTTAAGTTTGATTTCATCATACAGTATTAGTTTCTTTCATTTGACAGAGCTAAAGGACAGATTTTGACCATGTTAGCATATGATTCATGTATACGTCTATTTTGATTTAGTACATTAATGTTTAATTAATATAGTGATCATTTGAAAATTCAATCCATTGTATTGGTATATTACCAAATAAATGTTAATTCATTAAAAGAAATATTATTATTAAAGGTTGTATTACACTGCATGTATACTTTAATTGAAGGTGGCCTACTTAATTATGATGTTATTAAGCCCTATAAAAATATTATGTCTTTTAGTTTTTACCCTATTTAGTCTGGAAAATGTTATGAGGGAGGCTTTTTTTTATTTATTATTTTGCTTAAACGAAATATCACCATCTGGTTGATTGCTGGTGCACTGATATTCAAAGTAAAACATAATTGACATAATACAAACAACATATATAGTGACTTTAATATAAAAAAAATGAAAAAAATAATAATAAACAAATCCATTCAAAAAAAAAAAAAAGAAAAAAAAAGAAAAAAAAAAGTGAAGGG